TCAAGATATATAACATCAACGCTATCCTTAGCCCCCATCGCATCAGCCAATCATTTAACGATTCGAACATTGCCGTCTCCGTAGACTTCCCTTTCCTAAATCCATGTTGACAGCTATGTAGAATACGATTCAGTTCAAGATGACGCACATTTCTCTTCTTCAAAATTTTTTCAAACAACCGACAAAAAAGAGAGGTTATACTTACAGGTCTGAAACCGCATGGGTCATAACCAGGTGGTTTCTTCAACAGCGGAACTACTAGTGCATGCTTCCGTCTATTCGGGACCTCCCTACGACAGAAGATCAAATTAAAGAGATATTCCAAGAGAGAAGAAATTTTGGAAGCAATCATTTTAATTAACTGGAATGGAATGCCGTCAGGTGTTACAGAGGAGGACCTACATATGCCACTTGGAAAGAAGCTCAAAAATCTCCCGACGATCGAACCATACAGAATCCTCCATAATTGAAAACAAGGTACTATCCGAGGGCGGAGTTTCAATCGACTTATGACGAGAATAAGCTTGTGCAAAGCATCGGCCAGTAAATTTGCTCTATCGAAATCAGAGGTCACGATTGAGTCATCAATTTTAAGGAAGCCAACACCTTCCTTATGAATGAGCCTGGTATTGATATACGTATACAAAGCCCCTCTATTTTTAGACTCCACTACCTTTTTTCCACTGAGCAGTTGAACCTAATGAATTTCTTTTCGAACCTATCAGAAGCAGACTTGTAGAGATCCCAGTCCTGCGAAAAGTTAGACATGGAAGCCGTGTTATACGCTCGCAATTTTAGCAAGTAGAATCGTCTCAAATAAGGTGGTATGCGCTCGGGGGAGAGGGGGTACTTCCTCCAAGGAACAAACATTTCTAAACAATGACGTAAAATAAAGACAAAGATTTCATACATGTCATTGACTGAATCCGAAGCACTAAAAGACCCAAACCAATCCACTGAATCCAAATAGGAAATGAGTCGAATTACATCAGCATTTTTGAAATCACCTGAGTAAACCCAATAATCACTGGGAGAAGAAATATTGAGAAAAAATTTAACCACTGAATGATCACTGGATCCCAGAGGTGGGGATTCCTCAACTCGAGTGACAACCCCCATTTTATTACAAAATAAAAGATCAAGAAAGTGCTGTAGTCTAGACGGGAAATTGATAAGTTGTAAAAGGTTATGATTGGTAGTCATAGACAAGAACTCAGCAGTCAATGAATCAGAAGAATAAGGAACGTGATTCCACACAATATTTGGAAAGTTGAAGCCCCCATGAGAAGAGTAGGGAAACTAGCACTAGAGATTACTCAAGCATTTGATTAATTGTTTGGAATTTGCAAACGAACACTTTGTAGCCGTGTAAACCCCAATGAACCCGAGCTTACCAACAGCGAAATGCGAATCGACTGCAACAACTTTGTATGCGTTAGGGACACTTTCAGAAAAAAACAAGCTCAGGGAAAAGCTTCTTTTTCACTAGAAAGACCACTCATCCACCCTTTTTCCTTGGTCTATCACACCTGATAACGTCATAGAAAAGAGAAACATTGACCAAGTAAGACTCAATTTAATCCTTCTTCTTCAGCCATGTTTCCGTGATAGCAACTACTCCTCAATCAAAGCCAGATAAAAGATAAGTCAAAGAATTAAAATTCTTAACAGGAGACCTTGCATTCGCCAACAGACAATAAATCTCATTACCTGAGTGCCGAGGAACGATTAGTGGTTTAACGTTGCAGTCGCAGCATTAGCATTACTTGACTCACCATTAATAATCATGGCATCTTCAGAATGTTCTTGGATAGAAACACTAGGCGCAACTTGAACCACAGGAGCAGGGGACAAGCTATCATGAACAGAATCATGAACAACAGAAACACGAACACTAGAGGGGGTCCTAGCCGCTCTCAGGGATCGGAGTCGTTCCCTCTCTGCCTTAGTTAAAGAGGGTCTTATAAAAACACCAGAAAGATGAAAATGCTTTAACAACGAGGCTCTAGCAAGAATTTGTTTCTGAAATAAAGTAGTTGGCAGCACTACTTTTAAAAGCCCAGGACACAGTGAATTTGGCCTACCCATTCTGTGACAAGTGACAGGTAAACATTCGATCGAGAGGAAATGAAAAATTTTACTAACATTTTCAAGATCAAAAGAAATCCTAACAATTGCACTTGGATCAGTGCATTCAACCAATCCCGAAACGACAACTGATCTCACACGCTCATGTTCTGAGCAACATAGCATATCAGAATCAACATGAACATTAGAAGATTGAGTTTCTACAACAGAAGAAGACTTAACAGCCACTTGGGAATTGCTACCGTTATTGCCTAAGGACATCCTCAAAGCTTCAATCTGTTTCCTCAACCTCTCGTTTTCAATTGTTTGCTTCCGCAAACTATCCTCCAACTCCCTATTCCTTTGCAACAGGTCGTCGATGGCCATAGTTTTGTCCAACAGGTGAGTCAAGATTGTCTTGACATGCGGGGGCATTTTGTCGTCCGAAGTTAAACACTTGACTGCATCCAGCAAATCCCCATTGACCAACGGCGAAAGGGCTGGAGGACGACGCTTCACTGGCGGTTCCTGAACGTGTGAAGGGGCGCGGAGTTTCAGCATCCATTGAATAAAATTCTAAAAACAGATGAATGCAAAAAATCCAAATGATAGACCTTAGTCAGTGGCTTGATAGAAATATTCAAGTACAACCGCCGCCACAAGCAGTTTCACGTAAGAGATTGAGATCAAAATGACGCAACGG